TGCCTCAGTCCAAACCCCATCTCCAAGAAAGCCTGCCCAAATGGTGACTCCTCCTCAGGGAGGATCAAGAAAGCCCACCAAATGATAACCTCGCTCCAGGGAAGGCCAGGACCACTCCCACAGGCTATTTAAATTGCCCCCCAGAGAATGAACACATGGTCTCTGGGTTTTGCGTGGTCTCCCCTTCTCTCTCTTTTCCTTGCCTTGTTTTCCCGGGGTCACCTGGGAGTAAGGCACTCTATTAAACATGGACATCCTTTATTTGGTCTAATTTGGTTTGATTAAAATTATTTGCATCGGCAGAGAGGTTTGACTTAAGACAAAATACCTAACAAATGTATTTATGATATTTAGTTTAACAGTCCAGTATCATGGTCTACCCTCTCAATTATTTTGGTCTTCTTAAATTTCTCTAGGTTTTCAGGTTTAAAACATTATGGTTTGAAGGATTTTCCAAATAAAGGAGACCATTGACTTATTTATACAGGGTGCAGAAACTAGGACCTCATGCGTATGAGGCAAGAGATGAAACTGTACATATCCAAGCCTCTTTTGTACTTTTTACTTTGAGAAAGAGCTCACTAAGATGCCAGAGTTGACCTTGAACTCACTCTGAAGCCCAGCCTGTATTTGAGCTTGTGAGATACTCTGTCTTTCATTTCCTGAGTATTAGAACTGCATTTCTCTCTCCTCTTTCAGAGATTTCCATATGCATATGTTTGTCTGTTTGATGGTGGTCCTTGGGTTGCTTAGGCTGTGTTCAGGTTCCTTTCTTCTCTTTGCTTTCTGTTACTCAGAGTTCATAATTTCAATTTTCCCATCCTTATGTTCACCAAATCTTTTTTTAAAACCTAAGCAGATGCGTTGTTATCACTCTAGTGATTTTTATTGTCATTATTGAAATGTTTGATCTCAGAGTTCCTTTCCCCTCCCTTCCCTTCTCCTCCCCCATTTCCTATCACTCTCCTGCCCCTTCTCTTCCTCCTTTTTTAGTTTCTATCTCGTAGAATTTCTGGGTTTACTGAGAAAGCAACATTAGTTTCCTTTTTCGTGGTTTTGCAGTCTTTGTTTAATGAGTTCAATGGCAGGCTTCCTCTGGAATGCTTGTGTTAGTTTATTGTTTTCCTGTGTGTTGGCCAGATTGTCTCGTGTTTTCATGTCTTTCAATGTATTTTTTCTTAAAAACAAAAACAAAGCCCCAAACACACATTGTGATTTATTTTCGCAACTGGAAATGGGACTCTGCTTCTTTCACCGGGCTCTATTTTGCTATGAAGTATGGTGGCTTTTTGTTGCTTGCTCATTTTACTAAAGTGGTCTGAAAGAACTATATTCTTTTTTTGTCTGCAGCCGCTTTAATGCATGGTCCATTAGTTTAATATTCAGCTAATGAGTCAATAGAGACTTCCTTCAACACTCGCAACCAAATCCAATCAAATAAACAAAATATGCTATTGTTTTCACATGGACATGTGTGTTGTGGGCACACCTTAAAACTCATTTGCATAATTTAGAAACTTTCCTTGGATTTTACTTCTGCATGTTTCCCGTTCTGCACCTAAGGGTCAATCAGAAGTGAGAGATTAGGCTCATCTTGGTCTTTTCATTTATATTTTTATTCTATTTGGGGTCTTACTAGGTATCCCTGGCTGACAAGGAACTTCCTGTGTAGAGAAGGCTGGCTTCAAACTCGCAGAGTTCCACCAGCTTCTGCTTGGAGGGATGGTACTAAACATTTCTGCCACCATGCTCAATAATGTCCCTAGATCTGTGCGTGCATTATGGATTTCAGAAACTGGCTGGAGCTTTACCAACCTCTTCTTCCTCAGAACATCTTTTTCCTCAGGATTTCCACTCAATTGATGCAGTCTATTTTTTTAAATCTTAATTGATGTTCCACGTCCCAGGTATTAGTGAATAAAAATATTTGCCTTTACACATTTTCAATGAATGTCCCTAAAGTAGACATTTCATCCTTGAAAGTGTTCTGAATGAAAGAAAAGCCCTTTGAGCTGATTCTTCAGAGTCACCGGAACAGGAGAAATCAATTGTCATAGATTCTCAATAACATAGTCTGTTTTGCTATTTTTAGGACTGGGAACACTGTCGGGGAACATGGGCAGGTTTCTTTAAGGTTACCAAGTTCTTTTACTGAAGTTCAGCTCTTCATTCTCTCTTGACTTTTCTGATCGGCATAAAGCTTTGATTAGTTTCTGCAACTCCAATAAACCTGTTTCTGACAGATTTACCCATCTTGCACTGCTTTTCTATAGAAATGGGATTTGGGGGTTTTATACGCTGCCATTTTATTACAGCATTTTCTTGATTAACAACTGTATTTCTTCATAACAGAATTATTGCTCCCGAGTTGCCTGCGCTTTTGTCATGGATGTGGGCATCTGTACAGGGAAGCCCCTCTGTGTTTTTGAGTAGTAAGTTCCAAGGTGCGAGCCTTCCCAGTACCTCAGGTTTTGATAGAAAACAGCTGTGGGAGCTGGCCAGTTGCTCCAGATCAGATGACATGGCCAACCTTTCGCTATAGAGGACCATCATTCGGGCAATACTTCACAGTTGCTAGTTTTGTCTCACCTTGCCAAGAACTGGGAATAGATTTCTTTCATTTCTTCTTATCTTCAATGAAAAAAACCTATTTTGGTTTTGAGGTAAAATCAATTAAATTGTACTTTTAATACCTCCCGTTCTTTATAAGTGAAGGGGGAGAGAGAAAAAGAGAGAGAGCGAGAAAGAGAAAGAGAGAGAGGAGAGGAGAGAGATTTTGTGTTAGCATGCCCCCTCTTCTATACTTCTCTAAGAGGGATTGTCTAGGAGTTTTTATTTGCCAACTAGTTCATACTGAGGATCAATCAATTTGTCAAAATTATGGTTGAATTGCTCCTACAGCTATTGGCTCTGGAATCTTCTGCTTTAGGCAAGCTACATGTGTCTGGCTTTATCTGTACCTCCAAACTGGGGAGAGGGGTAATATTTTACCTAGCGCTCTGGTTCCATCTCTGTTGCTATAGTAAAATACTCCAATGGAAGCAACACAGGGCTGGGTGTGATGTGCTGGCCTTGCCTTTAAACCCAGCACCGGAGAGACAAAAGCTGGTGGGAGTGGAAACTGGAGAGCGGGGCTCATTGGTGGCTTGGATCTAAAGTGAGGAAAAACGGTGGAGGCAAAGCTCTTTTGATCCAGCTATCAGCTCTTGTTGACCTCAACAAGATGATTTTTATGGCCACATAAAAGAAAAAAAAAGAGAAACTTCTCAGGTTATGAATAATTTGGTAAGAAAATGGTGATTACCTGGGAACATGGTGGGCCGAGCTCATTTTAGCTCTGTAAATGGTCCATGAAGTTGAGGGGGCAGAACCGGTTTGGGAATCTGGGGTTGATATGTGGGAAATGTTCTACAGAGTCCTAAGTTAGTAAAAGGTTGGCTCTGTAGCCTGTGATCCAGCTCTAAACAACGATGGACTTTTCACATAGATGCTAGTTTGTTTGTCTGTCTCTAGACGGCAGCACACACCAAAGGAAGGGAAGAGGAAGTCGTCCTCAGGATGTTTGTGACTAATGAAGTTTTTACACTTTTAAGGAAACAATAGGCTCAGTTTTTACTCTATCTATCTATCTATCTATCTATCTATCTATCTATCTATCTAAGATTTCTGCCTCCTCCCTGCCACCGCCTCCCATTTCCCTCCCCTTCCCCCAATCAAGTCCCCCTCCCTCGTCAGCCTGAAGAGCAATTAGGGTTCCCTGACCTTTGGGAAGTCCAAGGACCACCCACCTCCATCCAGGTCTAGTAAGGTGAACATCCAAACTGTCTAGGCTCCTACAAAGCCAGTACGTGCAGTAGGATCAAAAACCCATTGCCATTGTTCTTGAGTTCTCAGTAGTCCTCATTGTCCGCTATGTTCAGCAAGTCCGGTTTTATCTCATGCTTTTTCAGACCCAGGCCAGCTGGCCTTGGTGAGTTCCTGATAGAACATCCCCATTGTCTCAGTGTGTGGGTGCACCCCTTGCGGTCCTGAGTTCCTTGCTCGTGCTCTCTCTCCTTCTGCTCCTGATTTGGATCTTGAGATTTCAGTCCGGTGCTCCAATGTGGGACTCTGTCTCTATCTCCTTACATCGCCTGATGAAGGTTAATATTCAGGAGGATGCCCATATGTTTTTCTTTGGGTTCTCCTTCTTATTTAGCTTCTCTAGGATCACGAATTATAGGCTCAATGTCCTTTATTTATGGCTAGAAACCAAATATAAGTGAGTACATCCCATGTTCCTCTTTTTGGGTCTGGCTTACCTCACTCAGGATAGTGTTTACTCTTTTAAGGAAACAATAGGCGTGGGAGCCAGTGGGAAGACCTTGGGTGAAGTGAAGCTGTGTAGAAGAACCTGTTCTTCCACTCTCATTCCCAGAAAAGCCCTAATCCTAGTCCCCTTTGGTTCTGTGAGAGCAGAACCAGCATCTAGTGTCCCCTAATCCTGGTTCCCTTTGGTTCTGTGAGGACAGAAGCGGCATCTAGTGTCCCCGATTCCTAGTTCCCCTTGATTCCGTGAGGACAGCAGCAGCAGCAGCTATGGAAAGAGGGGTGGAAGCTGCAGCACAAACTAGCACAGCAGTGGTGGAGGAGCACACAGGACAGACACTCACTGGGAGACAAGGTGGACGGTGTGTTGACAATATTTCATTCTAGTTAGTTAGTTTTATGTGCAAATTAAGGGGTTTCCTTATGATGTTTTTACATATATATCTGGATCTTGCTCATTTTATGAGTTTATTTTAGTTGTATAAAATAATGGGCTTCACAGTTATTTATATATTCATGCAGGCATCTAGCACACTGGACTTAAATGGCAAGCTTCTAAAGCTGGAATCTAGAGGAGGCATCCCCGAGGCTTCTGTACTAGTGCACAACCAGACTTGACTCGTTCTTGATCATTTTCCTGTAGATAATCTGAGAAAAGGGAGGAAGTAAATCCCTCCATTTGGTGTGACATCATGGCGAAAGTGTGGGAATTGGTCATGACAACTCGGAGCACAGGACACAGAGGCAACTCTGTTTCTGCCTTGCTGAGTCTTTGTCTCCCCTCACCCAGCAATCCTTTTTATTTAAGGACCAGCAAAAGGCAGGTGTTTACAGGTGAGAAGAAACTTCAGAGAGAAACATTTGCAAGTTCGGATTGTGAAATGAGGGAGCGAGTAAGGGAGAAATGGAGGAAGGCAGCAAGGGACTGAGAACTGGAGAGGGGGAGGGAAGGGGAGAGAGGCAGAGCAGCGGGGAGATTAGGTGTTGGCATGTCCTTCGGTGTTGCTTTTAGGGCATTAAGAGACTGTGATCAAGAGACACTATTAGTTATATGGGACCAAGAATGCTGTCACTAGAGAAAAGTGTCAATGAGACCTATCAGTGAGTCTCCATGGATATGAGATATGCTTGGTTGCTGAACTGCAAAAACCTGGTTTGCAGATCAGGTCTTAAAGTGCCTAGAATGCTATTCCCCAACCTCAACAAAGGACCAATTGGCTAAAAAAGACCAAAAGCATGTGTTGCTTAAGGAAGGGCTGATGAAAAGCATTAGTCTCAACTCAAGGATGAAAAAAAGCCAAAGTCCCAAGGATGATGTAGAATGAAATAATTTGTGAAAAGGATTTAGAAGGTGACAAAGAGACTAACTTATCAATAAAGAACAATCACCCTTTGACCAACCGAGAAGCTGATATTTGGAACTCTGAAGCCAAGAAATTTTTACTTGAGCTCTGGACCTGACCGAGTGTGCTTCCATCCAAGGAAAAATCATGTTCACCGAGCCCACAAATGCTGACTTTCCCCTTAGCCACAATGTCAGTAGGCACTGGGCCAGCATCTCAGTGGTTGCAAACGGGATCCCCACCCCCCAGACCACTGTGAGGGAGAAGGCTTTGTGTGTCCCAGAAAACCCGAACACCAGTATTGGAAATCAGGGCCAGATTGAGATGTCCATCGATGAAGTGTGTCGAGAGATGGTGTTACATTGCTGCAAGTTATTTCTGCAGCAGGCCGGATTAAATCTGCTAATAAGCATGACGATTATTAATAACATGTTTGCCAAGTCGGTTTCAGACCTGAAGTTTCCTTTGATATCCGAGGGCAGTGTATGTGCAAAGGTTCAGGGTTTGGAAGCACTGCTGGGTTTGTCTGAAAAGCCAGTGTTGGCCGACGAGGTGCTGGCTGCCCAAATGCTGTTCTCCTTCATGCTCCCCTTTATGAGAGGTGGGAACAGAGAGATGCTCGTGGAGGCCTTCAGAGCGATGCTCGTGGAAGCCCTCTCCCCATAAGCGGCTGTCTCCAAAAGAAGGAGACTGAATCCACCCAAGGCCCCAGCAGGTTACTGAGGACAGTGAAGCTGCAGTGGGTGCAAGCAAGGATGCAGCCTTAGCCGGTCAGCTCCTCCTTGGGCAAAAGTTCCAATAGCTAAAAGAAGGGTCACACTCTTCTTGGCCAGGCAGTGGCTCCCCGGAACTGTGGGCAACTTGTGGGTTTTGTAGTCTGCAGGGAAGGTGCATTGTAAATTGCTCCCTTGCAGTCTTCCTTCTGCGGTAAAAGGTAAAGGGATCACCGTTGGCTGCGAGCTGCAGATAACAGAAATCAAATCACAGCATCACCAGAGCTGTTGTTGCCTGTGGTGATCACCCTGTCTAGGCGGGACCACTTAGCAGAAATGACACCCACATGGGAGCTCGTGTCGAACTTGCATCTGCTGCCGCTGCTAAGGTTGAAGTATTTCCCCGTTCCCCTTTCCTGTACTAGCTGATGGATGGCTAGCATGTTAATCAAAGAAATGTACCCCATCCTGTCCATTGTACCGACTGACCCTCTTCCACCCAAGCCCCCACCTGTGTGTATCATCAATAAACTTGTGTGTTTTGATTGGCAAGAAAATCGAAAGGGGGCACGGGCCTCATCTTTGACTTTGGTCTGCACAAGCAGGGAGACAAAATGCACCATAGAGTCCAGCTGCCTGGGCCCCTGCTCCCTGACAGGAGCACTTGCCAGTGCTCAAGGAGGCAGGGGCAGAAAGGGTGAAGGAGGTGCAAGAGGGCCTCAGGGGAGGGGTGAGGGCAGGGGTAGATTCAAGACCTGTGTGCAGATGGAGGGGAGACAACACCCTTGAAGCAGTCACCCCGGGGCCCTGAGTAAGGAAGCCGTTACGCAAGAGGTCTTCTTGACTGGCCTCCTGTGGACTTGTGCCTATTGGATGGAGGCTTCTCCCAGGAGGGATTGCCACGTGACTGGCCCCTGCTAGGTTCATATCTATCTGTTCTGTCCCCTTAAGATGCTGTCAAAACCACTTCCTGCCCCCTTCCTTCCTCGGGGTCCCAAGCACTGCTTCCTGGCAGGGTGAGAGGGTTGGCAGCTGCTCCACTTTGGGGGGAGGACCTCCTTTCTTCTCTAGCCTTCCCTAGAGGTAGAGCAGCCAGGAACTCCCCACAAGGATAGTGAGGCAAATGCTGTCAGTGCTGTTCATGACTTGCCTGCAGAGATCCACAGAGCCATGCTCCACCTCTGAGATCCACACAGCTCTGCAAGGAAGAGGAGGCCCCTGTGCACTGAGCCATGCATCTGGGCCTGCCCAACTCTGTCTCTGTCTCTGTCTCTGTCTCTCTGTCTCTGTCTCTCTCTCTCTCTCTCTCTCTCTCTCTCTCTCTCTCTCTCACACACACACACACACACACACTGCCCATTTCCAAACCTCTGTCCCACTCCCCTTAGCTCCTACCTCACCAAGCCTAGCTTCCCTGCATGGTTGCCATGTAGGAGGAAGCAGACAGCTTCCCAAAGCCACGGCAAAGCAGGAGATCCACGAGCTTCCTATGTGACGCCATGCTGCTGCTGCTGCTGCTGCTGCTGCTGCAGGACAGGTGTCATGTATTGGTTGTTGACCCTGGGGTGCTGTTCTGGGTCATTGTGCCCTGTGCAACAGTGGTCTGTGTGCAGAGTGCCCTGCCTTCAGCCTGCTCTCTGCACGTCTCTCCATAGCTTTCATTTCTTCTTCTGCCTCCACACGCCATTTGAGTTCCAAGTCTCCTGTTTGTATCCTCTTCCCAGCAGCATTCCATGCTGGCCAGTAAGCTGGGGTGCCTGCCAGGCCCCTGGACCAACTCTGGGAAGTTGTCCAACCAGGAGTGGATACTGACCATCTCCAAGGTCCTGAGAAACTGGATGAGGCCAGTGGCCTGTGATAAGTGCCACACCACACAGCCATCACAATCCGTGCCTTGGACTGCCTCGGCTGGCTGAGGGACACTGTCTTGCTTCTCAACAGCTGCTGGAGGATTCTTCCCCCAGCAGGCATCCCCACCACAGCCATCTGCATCCCCTTTGAGTCTAGAGTTCCACGTTTTGGCTGGATGATGTACATCGAAGGAGGATTTTGTGCACACACCTGCATCCTCTTGTCCTGGTCCAGTCTGCCTTGCCAGTGCTGTCTTCAGTGACAGCTCACTGCCAGGCCTCCTTAACCTAGGCACAGAGGCAGGGCACAGGCTCCTGTCCTTGCTGAAGCTTCTGGCCCAAATTAGCATGCGCCTCCCTACATCTGTGCACATCACAGAACCCTCAGTTCCCGATCGCGTGCCGTGGTCAAGCATGTCCCAGGCACTTGAGGCTTGAACATGCAGCTGTCTCCTAACCCAGGGAGGACCTCAGAGGCTTCTAGCACACCTCTTGAGCAGCTGTGCCTTGTGCCCAGGAAAGCCACCTGGGACCAAAGCTGCTCCATCACATACATGGTCCTGGCCCATGTCGCCCCCTGCTGTTCATTTGCTGGTAGTGCTTTCCTGAAAACGTTGCTTGGGTGTTCATGCAGAGCTTTCTTGTCTGCCCCCTCATCCCTTGAGTGGTCCTGGTGTGGAGCCGAAGTAGGAGGCCAGTTTCAAGGGGGGGGGGCTTCTGATTCAGTAAGAATACGAATGGAATTCTGACATAATATCTCCGAGACCCCATCCTTATGGGTACAGACAACGCAAGACCAAAATAGCTCTGGATCACAAAATGTGCCTGTCTGTCACTGGGCTTTTCCCCCCACAAACACTGAACTAGGTCACCCACGCTGCCTTGCCGCCCCCGTCTACAGATCTGTACCCTGCTTGGCCTGAGCTGTCTCCTCTGTCGTGTGAGCCTGCCGCAGACTGCCTTCAGTTCCAGAAAGAGCCCTGGGCTTGCTGCTGCTGCTCCTGAGTACCTTCGTGTGTGGTGCCCCAGGGCCCTGCTTCTCCACCCTCCTGGAGCCCTCCCCTGCCACCTCTTGCTCCTGGGGATTTGGTGCATTGAGGCCCCTGCACTCCTTTTCCTGGAAAAGCAGGCAGGATTGCTGCTTCCCTCTTGATTACTCCACTCTGGAACCATTCACCTTTCCTTAACCCCTTTGTGTCCGTGTCCAAGCAGTTTTAACTCCCCAGCACACACGTGGAAATGCTTCTTTCGGACAAGCTCTCTCGTCACCAAGTCCATCTCTGTCCATGAATGCACTCTGATTAAGGACACTGGCAGGTTCTGCTGCAGCCAGCTGTGGGTGCTTCCTGCTGCTTTCGGTGTGCTGATGTGTTTCTTTCCTGAATATTAACACGCTTCTACCCTGCAGCCTCTCAGGACCTACTCCAGCCTCTACGAAGCTTATTGAGAACCCCACTCTTCCTTATTTTAGCAACATAGCAAATTGGGCTGACAGGTTGGAGGTTCAGAAGGACACCGAATCAGAGTCCCACACAGTCCTGCAGAACATGACTCTTCCCCAGGTGTGACAGATGTGGCATTTGTCCTTTACAAGCTTCCATTCTCCAGATATCTTTGCTCCAGACCTGGAGCTTTATTTTCCTTAACTGACTCTGCTTTCAGGACTTTTGGGGGTGGGGGTGGTTTTGGGTCCCTTTTGAAACACTTTGATTATGGAATTTGTCCTCTTAATATTTGTGGTATATTCCTTTTGCCACTCTTTGATTGTGGAATGTGCCCCCTTAATATTTTATCAGCTATCTTGTGCCTTTTTATTTCAAGCTTTGAATTACGGATCTACTAAGCAATGGGCTGCTAGGACAGGTGGTCGTGATGTACGCCTTTAATCCCAGGAGATAGACAGAGGCAGGCAAATCTTTGTGAGTTCCAGGACAGTCAGGGCTATGTAGAGAGACTTTTTTAAAAAGCAATACAAAACAAACAAACAAAAGCAAAAGAGAAGTGTACTGTTCAGCAAAATGGGATGTAGTAATGCGATACATCTTATTCTTCTGCATGAACCGTTGAGGGTCCCATCATCACTGGTTGAATAGTCCATTCATAGCCTAAGGTAGCATCTTTATCTACCAAACCCAGCATTTTGTCTGTGGCTTCCTGACATTGCAACCCTCTGAGACACACTCCTTTCTTCTAGACTACTCTGATTGGCTTGAGGAGTCTCAGCTTCCTATGTGGCCCAGTGCAGGTGGTATGTGTTTTGATGAGAAGGGTTCCTTTAAGTGCATGTGAACAGGCCTCTGCCTAGCTACCCTCTCAGGTACATTGCAGCCTGTGGGAAGCTTAGGAAGCCTCATTCTGCTGACTTCAACATTGTGTGATCTCTTTCATCTACCAAAGTAATGTATCTTCAAGACATTCTAAGTTTCAAAATACCGTGCTGCGCTGCCATCATAAACATCACATATGCTGTATTATAATCTAGCCTATGCAATCATGCATTTTCTAATGTAGTGTCAAATATCTGTAAACACACCCCAAAATAGGACATACAATTTTTTATGCTGTCAGGTATATTGAAATAGCAAAGACAAATTTTGCCATGAGCCTTTCCTTTTAAGTTGAAAGGAATACTTATGTATTCTTTCCCCATTCAAAAATAAATTTACTAAGCAGCAATTATTCTTGGTTAATATATAAGGTAGTTATACAACATTATTCTGTAGTCAGGTTCTTTTGGTAAACTCATCATTTTTGCTATTTTGCCTCTCTATTCTCTCTGACTTCGTATGTAGATAAATATAGTTTACAAATTATGTCAGTTTTATCTCTTGCTAGCCAATAGTTCATCCATAGCTCATTGCCTTCCCTTATCTCTGGGCGCTGTCAAGGACCTCCAGAACAACGGCACTGACGGTACAGAGCATATCTGTCTTCTTTCTCATCTTAACGGGCTATGCTTCTGTGAAATGTTGATGTCTCTTGGAGGTTTTTGAATAATATGTCATGTATTTATATAATAGAATTTATAAAACAGTAAAATAAATAAGTGTACTAGATCTCTCTCTGTATAGCAGTCTAGACAATTCTCCAGGACCTAATATTG